TGTTCAATAACTGAGGTGTTTCTCGTTTGCAAATCATCTACAGATCTAGCAGTAATTCCCAATCTGCTGTTGGTCTGCCCATGTTCTTCAGTTTATAATCCAGACCTGTAAACCAGAGTACATGGATCCGAGTTATCTTCATTAAGGAAACAGTGATAAATGAGATTACATCCATCTTCTGAAACTTTGTTATCTCAACCAGCAGTTCCACCGCCTCTTCTCACATGCAGTTTTTACTGTGCCTGCCATGACATATTTACTGATGCCTAATCAATTGGTGAGCATAGAACTGATCAGATTTGGTGGTATAAGTTCTTGCCATCCTGTAGAACTTCCACTCTCCATCAAGCATCGTATCTTTCTTGATGCTTCTGCAGATCACTTGGACGAGGATGAGATATGTGACAGATACGGAAAATGCGATATGCATACACTTTGATCACATACATTTGTGTGTGAGTTTCCTTCCCCTATGGGCAATTCAAATTCTTCATTTAATATCACTAAATGCAGGTCAAGTCTTCATGCTCTGTGATGCAAAAATTAGTAAAGATGTCAAGTACTGCAGTCTAAAGATCTCTTGCAAACTAAGACGGACACCCTAACCTTTTGTGTATATGGAATATGCCTTCCCACCATCTGTCAATTTCAGTCAAGGAAGATAAGCTCGGTGGATGGAGATTGGTTCCTTCTAGTGAAGTGAAGACTAGAACTTAGAAAAGTTGCTTTTTTGAGACTGTTGATGGAGGAGCAACCACTTCGAGTGTGTGGAAGCTCTGTGAACTCATAAGAGCACTCGTGCTGAGAGCAGATAGCTTGTTTGTGGGCAATTGTTATCAAGTCAGCAGGTTAAAGTTATATTGATGGGATGACCCCTGAAGCTGGTCAAATCCCTACTGCAAAAGATGCTTCTGTTTCTGTTTCAGAATATCTATTTGCCTCTTCAGTCTTTTTGACAGGCAGTCATGCAACTCCATGCGACTTGATCGGCTGTGTCAGCCCCGTGCACTTTACACATTCGAACTCTTAATGTTCTGTAAGGGTTCTGTGCCATTCTAGGATCTATGACAATCAAGCACTTAAGTTATCATTGAAATGTTTCTCCGGGCTCCTCAATTGAGTCACTTTGGGCAAACATGATGGCAGTGTTAAAACTGACCTCAGCCAGTAGAAAAATAGAAAGCAAAGCGGCTTTACATTCTTCTCCAGTGTTTTTTCCCCCCCACAATTGCTCAAGCCCCGTTTTCAGCTAAAAGCATATAATGAAATAGATATTTATGAATCATACAATTCGCTTAAGGAATGGCTTCCGTACTGAAACCAAGACTATCGATAACTTTTTTCTTTTTATAAAAAGGTCATTTTACTTTGAGTGATATTGGGCTATTGATTTTGAAGTCGGATCCCCTGAATGAAAGCGATGGCTTTAAAATATTCAATGAGGTTATGAAACATCAATGGCAAATTCCACATGGAAATCAGCTGCTACAATATGACCCTTCCGCTGTCAATACCTTCCTGAATTCCTATTTCTAATGTCTGAATTATTTGTTTTGCTTTCTTGGGCCTCCCTCACTCTCTCCCCTTCTTTTATAGACCCATGAGCTGTAACAATCACATTACCTTCTTAGGTAAATTTCTGCTGAAGTCAATGAGGATCTGCCTTTCAAAGGGTTTGAATACTGCAGACCACTGTGCCCAATAAATAGGCAACCTTTGGGAAAGTGGGGGGAGGCGCACAGTTATTGGTAGAAGAATTGCCACTGGCTAAGCCCTGCCAGGCTTATTCTGACTCTAGCCCAAAGTGAGTGATGGAGCATTATGCATGCTTGTTCCTTCTTCCTGACCTGGTTGGTACCAATGTGAGGGGCAACCCTTTCCAGTTTCAGAAGTGTTGTAATTTTCTGCTGTTTGGGAAAAACTTTAGGCCAATAAGGCAGTGGTGGGATTCAGCAGGCCAACAAACGGTTCTGCAGAATCAATAATAAATTAGCTACCGGTTCTGTAGAACTGGTGCGAACCTGCTGAATCCCACCACTGGCCAGGATCAGTGGTGGGATTCAGCAGGCCAACAAACGGTTCTGCAGAACCAATAATACATTAGCTACCGGTTTTTTTCTGCTGTTTGGAAAAAAATTTAGGCCAATAAGGGTGTTTAGATATGGTGGACCTAAGGCCTTGCATCTGCTTGTAGAGCTTGGCAAATTTCTGGTTTAGGACTGCAAGCCCCAGCATGACCACTGCCCACACTGTGTGAGTCTTTCCCTAACCAATAGTTCAAAAACAATTCTTTTCTGACTCTTTCCCTCCCACAGCTTTTGTAGCTGTGATAGTAGGGCTTTGTACTGCTGCACTGGAAGTTCCACTAGTAGAGCTCCTTCTGAGGAGGGCAGCGATGTGCTCAACCTCAACCTCATGGGACCAAGGACCAGGATGTCTTGATGAGCTAGCATAGGAATGCCACCTATCACAAGCTTCTATGCCTCCTCCAACATTAGCTGCAATCCTCACAACAGCTGGATGAGAGAGACAGGTATTATTCCAACAACAGCATATTGTTCTGACCTCTCCATGCTATTGACTTAGAACTACAGAGCTGGAAGGGACCCTATGGGTCATTGAGTCTAGCCCCTTATCAAGGAGGCACAGTGGAGAATCAAACTCTCAACCACCGGCTCCATGGCCCAAACTAATGATGCCTAAACCATTGAGCTACCCAGCAATTATGCAAAGGATTGGGTGGGGGTAGTGGCTTGGTCTTAAATGAGCTATTATGACTCACTTGCTTTGTAAAATATCTGCTGATTTATTTTTTAAAAAAGTTGGAACTGATTCAGTGATAAACTCTGCTGGCTGCATTTCTGCACTCTCCTGGGGATCCAGACCCAATGGGTTATCAGGATGAGTGCCTTCACTTCAAAATTTGCTACTATACTACTGGCAAGGAAGGCCTGGTACTGGACAGGAAGGTCTGCAACATTCAATAGTCTGTCACCAGCTCTTCTTCGGAGATTAGAATCAGAGCTCAGAACAGCTGCTGTTTTCAACAACTGCTCCCAGAGGGATGTGAGATTCTGGGAGTTGCCACCTTCCAAATTAATTATTCTGGGTTCTGTTTGGGATTGCCTCTGAGCGCATCCAGTCTGGATTGTTGATTAGCCCTGTGACTGGCCAAAAATGATAACAAAAATGGGCAATGTTAAGCGCAGCAACAAGCAATGTCGTTTCTTTCTGTTGTTATTTAGGGAGGGAAACATACATAGAAAGCATATTGGATTTTGGGTAACACAAATGATTTTCTTTACTGTGATCCTTGCGCAAAAATCCCAGAAAGACTGTAAGTAATACCCTTACTGGATTACTAAAATACTTAAAAAGAGCTGAGCTTTGGAATCCAGCAGAAAGCATATTTAACACTCACAAGAGTGGAATCAGAACAAGATAAGCTCCCAGATCATCTGACCAGATGCATCTTCATGCTACAACATGCTGTAAAAGTCAGAATGACTTTTGGATTTTTCTGGTTTTCCCTCAAACCCCCTAAAGTTTGGTATTGACCATCTCAAATAAGGGTTTTATCCTTCTTCAAAGCTCACCTCTTTTAAAAATATTTTAATGGTCCAATGAAGGTTTTATCCACTGTTGTTTGGGGAGCTGGGTTTTTGCGTGTGTGTGTTTTGTGTGTCCCTATCCATTCATTATTATACTGAAAACCATAGATTCATGCTATTGAAAATCTCAAGCCGTCTTTCTTTCAAGCATTGCTACCCCAACATTGATTTCAATTCAAATTATTAAAGTAACATATAATTGTGTTTCAAAAAGAATAAACAGGGCCAGGTTAAACTCCTAACTGGGGACGTAAGTTTGGTATCCTTAAACCTGTTCTATTGCTTTTACTGTGCAATTGTGATTTTTCCCCCTCTTAAATTTGAGATGCCTGTTGATAACATGTTGAAATAGATCGAGTGTACAACCAACAGTTATTTCTGAATGGTAAAGCCATGACTATCCAGCCAACCATAGCCACTAGACCATGGCTGAGATATTCTGGGAATTGCCCCCCCCCCAAAAAAGCATATTCTATCATTGCTGTTTCAGACCTTCCTATTCCTAGATTCCTATCTTCAAAAACAGAATTGAACAGATTTCCATTCCTGCACTATTTCAATTTGCTTCTCCTAAAGATGCAAATGTACAAAGCAGAGGGGTGCTGAGGTGTGTTTTTGGACCGTGACATGCCCCAGCCAACATCACAGTAGTTCAAACCAAACCCCATAAAATCTGCACATCTCTAGTATCAAGCATATTGTCAAACTGTGGTTCACTGCCACACTATTCATTTATGATCAACCTCAAAAACAACATGGGGGGGCCAAATAGCTGCTGCCGTCAATGATATTACCTTTAAAAATATGTTAAGAGTTGATATTCCCATGAGATGCCATGAGGAGTTAATGGAACCAAGAGTCTTTTTTAAGCTAATTTGATCACCAGGGAGAGAAGAAGCCTTGTGCAGGATACTTGCCCAACTCCTTACCCAACCCAGATAACAGTAAGGAGGTTTTTAAAAGCCGTATGTCCATAATATTAAAGCCTGAAATGAAGACAAACCAAGATTATACAGTATTGAAAAACAGGCTAAATAGCTTAAAGTGCTCCAGGGGCACCAGACCATGAATACCAATGGAATGTTATTTTACCAAAAGCCTTTAAAGACTAGATCCTCTAAAGTCTGTAGAGATTTTTATATCAAACTCAGGGCAGCTGGGGATCACTTGCAGAAACCAACAAGGTTAACCTGGGCTTCCCTTCTGCAGGAAGATTTTTAAAAATTCCGGAAATGAAGTTTTGAAAAGTGGAAGGACTTGAAAGTAGGAGTGGCGAGCGGATCGTGCACTGCGAAGCCATTGGTAGAATTGCACCATCCGCATCCATTCGGCCCCATGGGGCTGGATCATCATTAATGCCACCTGTGCAGAATATGAATACCGCGGTGGATTGGTGAGTGGTCCATTCGGCCCCATGGGGCTGGATCATCGTTAATGCCACCTGTGCAGAATATGAATACCGCCATTTATAATATCTATTCAAAAGCAAGCCCTGTCAACTTGAAAGAGATTTACTCTTGAACAGACAGACATATGGTTCTAAGTGGGGACAATGGAGAGAAGTGGTGGATGATCCGTATTTTCCAAACAGCTTCCTTTACCTCACAAAAAATTTGTTGACTGGTGTCCAGCACTTAAGTACCGAATTCGTTTGGAACCTAAATTCAAAAGCATTGAAAGATTACCTCAGTAATTGATCATCATTAATATGTTTTCAGCTCTAATTATAGATTCCCTGTCATGTCTGCTTCTAAGTTGCATTCTCAGCCAACTCATTGATGGACTTTGAAAAAGAGGGGGATGTTTTTTTAAAACCACAATGCTCAGAATTCCCCATCCTGCATGGGGATAGTCTGGGAACTGTAGTTCACTCACAGAACAAGGGTAGTTCAATACAGGCCTTTTCTATCTTAGATAAGTGGGGGGAAAGAAAGATTCTCTCACACCCTCAAAATTAGAAGAACTAAATACACGGTACACTGTTTCATTGACCAGGCCAGGAAGAGAGACATGTAGATATGACAAGAATTCTTCAATCTCCATTGAGTTTGTCTGGAATAATTCAGCATCTATTTATACTGGATTCCTATTGGCCTTCATGGGCTTAATACTGCTGTTACCTCATTATTCAGTCAAACATCAGGAACAATTCTCAAATTCATTATGGAAGAACAAATATGTTTCTCCCCGCTAATAACAGTAGTCCAGTTTTCTAAGAAAAGTAGCTTATCTCGATAAGCAGACACTGGAATGCTAAAAGCTATCATGAGCCATTTTGTGGAATGTGAAACCTCTATGAGTATGAAAATACTTTCAAGACAACATTCTTGGCAGTATAACTAGAAATGCAAAAAACCTCTGCGGTAAACAGTTTTGACTTTTCCTACTGCACGAATAGAAGAAATCCCTCTGCGTTGTCAGATATGCAGGAACAATCTTCCTATGCCTTAGAAAGATAGTGATAAAAGGGTTATATCATATCAAAGCATCACTGAATGAAAGAAATCCCCCATCCAATCCCTCTTCTCTTAGAACTCTTTTGTCGAACAGTGGATTCATTTTGGGCACTTCTTTTTTGGGGAAAAAAACACCAACAACATCAACAATCGTTTGGCACTTCAAGTGTTAAAATCCTTAGGCACAGTGGGACAGAGTCAGCTTTGCTAGACCTTCACCGTGCATTCGAAACAGTTGCTGGAATTCGGCAGGGAGCTGATGGGACTCTTGCCACTTGGTGGTGAACTTTGTTCCTTTTTTGTCAAAGTAATGGTAGGGAAGGTCTTCGCGGTTGTTCGGATTGAAGCCAAAGGGCCAGAATCCATACAGGTGGATTTCGTCACAAATTGCTGAAGCCAAGGTATACATGAGGATACCTGTGCTGAGTCGTTTGGGAGCCAAATGTTTGTTTTTCCAGTATCTGTAGAAAAATTCAGAAAGCACAGTGTGGAAAATATATATTAATGAGAACATTCTTGCAATGCATTTATCACCCTCACCTCCCGCAACATTCATATGCCCATTCAATCTTGGCCATGCAGATCTAGACCATCAGCATCATTCTTATTCCCATTCAATCTTGGCCATGCAGATCTAGATGTTTTTGTGATGGTACCTGATAAAATTCTTCCAGGAAAAAACTTCTTAGCTATTAGAGAAGTACAACAATGGAACCAATGTGGTACCTGATAAGGAAAAAACTTCTTAGCTGTTAGAGAAGTACAACAATGGAACCAATTGCCTCAAGAGGTGGTGAGCGCTCCAACGCTGGAGGCATTCAAGAGAAAATTGGACAATTATTTGCTGGCACTGCTTTGATTTGGATTCCTGCTTTAAGCAGGAGGTTGGGTTTAATAACCTTATGGGCCCGTTCCAACTCCATGATTCTATGATTTCCTCAGAGATGACCTCCTTCTTACTCAGGGTTTGGGAAGTTCTTGTTTTGGATAACCATTTCCCAAACTTCTCAGCCTGAATAACCAGTGTAAATGTCAACTCAGGGATTCAGGGAAATGTAGTCCAAAAGATCTCTTATCCCATCCTTGTTCTTATATGTCTATCTTTTTTTACCACTATCAAAAACATACTTTTAGCTTGCCATTATATCTGCATGTGGTAGACGCTGACATTTTATCAGCTTGTATACAACATGTTGATATTCGAGCACTTTTAATTTGTTGTTTTAGTTTTCCATTTAGTATCGATATTTGATATTAATGTTGCTAGCCAATATTGGGAATCTTGACAAGATAAAAAGTGAGATAAAAGTGATTTAATAAATATGTACCCCACATTTCCTTTGTCAGGTTTAAAGAAGCCCAGGGTCATCTGTCCAGGAGATGATCCCATCCTATTTTTTAGTTAATGAGGAATTTAAACAATTTTACCTCTTGCTCTGAATTAAGATTTCTTTCAGGCTAGCAAGAAAGGGACAGATTGCTCAGGCAGAGGCCTGGATGGTTTCTGAATTTAGCTGGAGACTCATGCAGCCCCAAGATTGCAGATTTTCCACTTATAATCTACAAAACATTTAATATCTCATGGAGCTCCTAATGTAGGTGTCTGTTAATTCAACATCGGTTGACCACATGGAAGGTACGCTTATATCTTGGCTCTCTGGATGATAATGATAGCCCAGGACATGAAAGGTTTTTGCTTAAACCTCGTGTTCTAGCATTGGCCTTTGGTTCCTCAGTCTTCCTTCCACTTGGGAGAGTTTCTTACTCCTCCTTGCAGAACTGCCATAGCTCAGTTGTAGAGTGCCTTGGGTTCAATCCCTGGCATTTCCATGTAAGACTGAAGTCCTATCTGAAACCTGGAACAGTTGCTGTGAGTCAGGGTCAACCATTAGTTAGATGGACTAGTGGTCTACTTTTGTACAATACTGTTTCCTTCTCATTAGCTTTCTAGTACTTAGTCCTTGGTTCTTGCCTTCAGTGTCATCTACCTCACCCCTAACCTCACTCATCATTTTGCCCAGTTATTTTTTGTGCTCAGCAGCTTGACCTCACAGCTTGAACAAGTTACTTTTTGACTACCGCGCTCATAATCTTGAAGCCAACATTCTGGAAACTGCAGTCCAGAAAAGTCTCCTTTGCCCCATTTTTTTGGCCCACATACTCTTGCCTGAATATGCTGGCATAACACAAATGGTGTAAGTTTTGGAGGCAAATTGCTTTACTTTAAGAAATCACTGGAGACAGTATGTATTACACACTGAGTTTTACGGCTTGGTATGCAACTCGTAATGTCTATGGTGATTTTAAAACCAGGTCAATATGTCTTGTAAAGTTAGTCCATTTGTGAAGACAATTTTGACCATTGTCCTTCATTCCACGCCTAGAACCCCTCAGCTACTCAGAATCCCTTGATTAATTGGTCTTGCCTGGAGGTGTTATCCTGTAAGGATTTTTGTAACTGCTAGTACCTAATAATCCTGTCTTAGTATGAATTTTTCTAGACAGGTTTATTCACATTGGATGACGATTTTTTTGTGTGTGAAGCCACTATGAGCTTTTAAAAGAAAGTGATACAAAAGTTTTAAAACAAATAATCCATAAATAAAACATACAAATTAGCTATGCTCTTTCTTAAAACAGCTTTTGTTTAAAGCTGCTCATCAGTTACACTGCAAACAAAACAAGCAATACACACTATCAAGAAAGTTTCATGCAAGAAGAAGATGCACCTGTTGACATGTTGCATTATATTTCCTGGCCAAGCTAATTGGACTTTTAACTGCCCTCGATGCTCAATAAAGAAGTCCACCAATGTCCTTGTGATGGTTGCCGATGTATGGAAGAAGAAGGCTGGGATCCAGAGAATGGCTCCATCAAGCTTTTTTAAGCTTAGGAAGAAGTTATTGCGATCTTGAATGGTCAAAAGATTGTTGTAGTATTTCTCCAGGATGCTCGGGTTGAAGGTGGTAATGTTGGTTTTCCTCCCAACGTCTTTATGGAATGCTTCAGTTGGAGCAAAATTACAACGGAATACAAAATCGTATTTATCTATTTCCTGTCCACATTGACTGCCCACAAGGATCCCACTATTTCCAACGACGGCGCAAATGTTATAGTGCTTGTTCTGAATTGGTGAGACATCTGGAAGAAGCAACCGGAAGCTATTGCTAATGGAGAAGACATATTTATGGCTGGAGTAATCATAATGCATCAGCTGTCCAATCCGAACCATGCTCTTTGTCAAAGAAAAGTTTTTGATCACATCAACATGCTGAAGAATTTCTCGCCTACAAATAAAACAGAACATTGGCATTAAAATGACAGGCTCTGCATCCTACATCAATTCTGAGTTTGGAAAAGTTTTTTTTTTTTTTTTGGTAATTTGAGAATAGAAATCCCAGAACTCCAGTCAGCATGGCTAGTGGATTTTGAGAATTATATTGAAAAAATGAACTTTTCCAACTCCAGTAGAATCATTGCCTTTTCTTAAAAAAAGAGAAAAACTGGAGTAGCAGATTAATTTCCTAAAAAAGATAAGCTTTCCTATCAGTAGGTGCATGTGCTTTTAGAATAAATCACCTTTTAAAATATAAAGGTAGTGCATTTCAAAAGTTTGGATTACCTTGCACTCTGTTCCCCCCCCCCCCTTTATCAGTAGGTGCATGTGCTTTTAAAATAAATCACCATTTAAAATATAAAGGTCGTGCATTTCAAAAGTTTGGATTACTTTGCACTCTGTTGTCCCCAACCCCATAATGGGTTTTGGTGGTGAGGGACAAGTGGGGGTGCTCTGTTCCATTCAGGAATCTTAAGCTTTGCATTTCTTTTAATGTACAGAAGTAAAAACTACAGTCAGGTCAACAATCCATGAGTACCATTAACAGTATCGCCCTTACTCTGAATTATTTCTATGGATGCCCTTGCTTCCTATGCAGATCGTGCATTGAGATGATGCTTTAAGATGAGCCTGTCTCCTTTATATAACGGCCACATTTGCATCATGTTTAGTGGATGGTAGAAGTTCTGTTCCTCCACTCCCTGCAAGCTGGAACCACATGACTGAAGGCTGCATTAACTTCCCTCCCCCAGTGAGCATTAGGGCCAAATCAGATCTGTTAGTGGATTTTGGCTTTTCCTTCTCCTAGGGAAGAGCAGATTGGGGTGTATTAGTCTAGGATTACTCACTGGGAGAAATGGGCACAGTCTTTTCAGAAAATGTCCACCTCACCATCATAGATCAAAAGCCATCATTATCCCAAAACATACCAATTCTTGACTGATCGTGGAAACTAAGCAGAATGGGAGTTGGTTATTGTAGCAGTGGGCGATCACCAGAAATGACTAGGGATTTCCTAGTGGGAGAGGAAAGGAATCCTGACTGGAATCTGGCAAGGAAGATGGACCAATAACTTGACTCAATGCAAGGCATCTTCCTGTTTCTAAACTTCCTGTTTGCCTGGAAACATAAGGATAAGATGAAGGTACCTGTTTCCTTCAGACTAAATAGCAAATTTGGGGTGTGTGAAATTGTTTTTGAGGGGAGGGATTAAAATTAGCTTACATCCCTTGCTCCTGATTCCAGTCATTTCCCACAACTGCTTTTAGCCATGGAAAAACTTGTGGAATCCTCATTCCACAGTCATATCTTTATTCCTAATGCACAAAATACTTAATCAAACAAGTATATTATGCTAAGCAGTACATAATATCTTTAAAAATGTGAGTATGATTTAACTTATAAACCTATTAAACATACTAAAGAATATAAACTATTGATTGCACATTACTTAGCTGCTGTACAGTGAGCCACTTAAAACACCAAAACACATCTACCATCCAGCTATAACTAAAATATCTCCTGTCATGACCTAATTACTAGTCTATTTATTAATATGTCTGGTCCTGAGAAACATGCCAATGCATACGTAGTTTTTTGTTGTTGTGCTGAGACCATAACGTAGTGCAGGGACTAATTTTGCTCTTCTCCTCTTGTGTTTGAGTGGGTTCAACTTTGGGAAAACCCCATTCCCCTTTTTGTTCCCCAAAATGTAGAGACAGGCCTTCTTCATAAACGTTTTCTTTTATTTTCAAACACTGGAGAACTATGAATAACAACTTCAGTTGGACCAACAGGTCCCTCAGTTTCTTTACATTCAACACAACTGTCTCTTCACTCGGGCATCGCAAGAGAGTTCACCATCGGGGGGTTCACTCCAAACAGTTCACGATCTGCTTTCACTTGGGCGTCGCAAGAGAGTTCACCATCCAAATAGTTCATGATCTGTGGATTTTCTTGTGGGCTTCTTCAGACTGGGACATATGGTACTGCAACAAAGGTGCCGAGCCCACTCTCCTTCCATGAGCGTTTCTGGATGCGACATCACCACTGGGTTGGCCCCCTTCTTCCACCGATCTTCCTTCTTGGGATAGACAGATACTGTCCATTCCACAGGTTCTGCTTCCCCCAGCTGTACCTCAAATCCTTCCTTTCTTTGCCTTTTCTGCTCTTCTCCCTCTTTTCCTGTCTCACTCCCCACAGGTCTCATGTTGCGATATTGCTGTCTCCTATTTCCTCTAGGAGCAGTTTCATTTTAACACACTCTCCTGTCTTCCATTTCTAACCAATCCCATCCTAGAGAAACGTCTTCTTCCCTCACCTTCTTTCCTTTCTTTGTTTCCTCCTCCTTTTCTACCTCTAGCTCTCTTTTCTCTTCTTCCTTCTCCTCAGCCCATGTGACTAGATATCCCTCCAACTCTCTTGGCTCCTCCCCTTTCTCGCCTCCTTCTCACTCTTCTTTCCAGCTCTTTTTCTCCTCTACTTTCAGTTGGGCCACTGCTGGTATCAGCATATATGCTGTCTCATATTCCTCTGTTGTGGGCGCTGGAGGGGACACCTCACACTCCTCTTATCTGTTGGGAAGTGTTTCCTCCTCACATGGTGTTATTTCAGTCCCACCTTGCTCTATACATGGCTAATTTGTCTAATCAATGGCTCTGATGAATAGATTAAGTTCCTGCTGCATGAGAGTGCAGCTATGATCTTGTACTGGCAGAGCAAATCAACATTCTATAAGGCAATTCTAAAAATGGGGGCACCATTCACACTAGTTGGAAAACAGCCCGGACAACTGGCTTGTGTTTGGGTGAGAAGTGGTTAACAGATGAAAAAAGGAGTCAGCTTCTGGAATTTTCCCTGATTGGCATCTCTTTGTGAATGGCAGTGAGCACAAGACGATGTCCTGTAGACCATCTTGACTGCTGTAATCGGTGTTGTCAACATTCAGGCTGCCCTTTGCTATGTAAAGCTCGACAACTATTTTCCTATTGTGCCCTTTTCTGGTGTTTTGAGTTGTGGATACAGGAACACAATATTCCACATTCATAAAATGAAGGGTTGCTCTCTCTCTCTCTCTCTCTCTCTCTCTCTCAAGAACTGAATATGCTCCTGCTTATGCTCATATAAATTTGGTTTCCTTGATAGATGACACTGCATTTAAATGCGATACTTGTAGGTTGATCTCCAGTGATTTGAGAACTGACACAGATGCATACCAGATAAGATGGTAACATGTCACTGCGTAAAGGACAGTGATAAATCCAGGGTTTTGAAGGATTGTAAATATGGCACCCTTGTGCCTCTAACTTGCAAAGTATGGGATATGAAAATAAAAATCGTCTTCAGTTGCATGGGATATTCCTGAATGCTCTGTGTAAAATGGAAACAGGAACTCTACCAGGGCTCCTAGTTGTGCCCATGCTTGCCATCTTCTGGAGCCAGTTCTGGTCTTGAGAGAAGGTTGGGGAGAATATTCTTCACACTGAGTCCTTAATTCCCTCTCCAAGTTCAGTTGTTATGGTTCCCACACTGATTTCCTAAAATGTTATCAAAGCATGGCATAACTGGAAAGAATCACAGGTATGAAGGAAACATAGCAGCAACAGAAGTTAGTTGTCCCACCCTTGATTTTTAATGTTGGATTGCTGCCTATTGGAACTTCAGACCACATAATTCTGGCACAGAATCTTTACGCTTGTGTAGAGCCTCAGGAGGAACATACCAAATCTTAGAAACTTCCTTGCATCCAATACTCTGAGCCAGATAGAACCTGTTCTGTAGGCTTTGTTTCTAAATACCATGATTTAAGGTGGTCCCCTTGCACATTGCCAAAGAGAAAATGCATGGCAAAAAGAGAGAGCCCAAAAGTGTATAATATTAGTACATACTGAGATATGCGCACCTGAAACGTTAGCAACAATTACAATGATTTCAAACATAAAGTCCTATTCTGCCTCTTCACAATGGCAGGGAAGTGACTCAGGAGGTGAAAATTGTCTGGAATCTGAGAGCCAGCTTAAGTATAGAGAAGGTTGGAGGTTGGCCATCAGGTGATGAAAATTAGCTACATCAGCTATAAACACAACAATGGCATGGAACAGTTGTGATCTACCTTGGCAAAGGGATAATCTGGACTGATTGACTCATGGATCTTCAAGGTATTGAATGATTTATATACCATGTTCTACATGGGAATCCCACTCATCCCAATAAAATGTGATTAATGTGGCTGTAGCATTACTGACTGTAGAATACCCTTCTGGGAATTGTACTTAAAAAAAGAAGCCCTTTCCCAACATTCTGCATTCCAAAATGTTCGAGCAATCCCTTCACTACCTGTCCCCCAACCCTGTTTTTTTTAATATAGTGGGAAAAAAAGGAATAGAAATACTCTTGAGTATATGCTGTCTTGCATTTTAGATTCACTTAATTCACTGCACCATCTTGATTAGAGGAGTAAGTTGTACAGTAGTTCACTTCTGCTGTCCTGACACTAAGCTCAGAAACCCAGTTACTTTGAAGAAATGGACTGGAGTAGGCATAGCCAAATGAACCTAAGAAAGTGGATTTTTACCCCAACACAGTCCTTTGTGAATGCAGAGAAGAGCAGGCAACTTCACACCTACGCCAGTATATGCCTCTCAATATGTACTATGGAAGACATCATGCTAGCTGCCCCCAAATGCTCTTGATGTTGCCAGTTACGGGGCAGACATACGGTAATGCATCTATTAATTGTACTGTGATGCTTCTAACATGAGCAGAGAAAGAAGGAACCATTCTGTTGTAGGAAAGCGGAATGATTCTATTCATAAAGGAAAACAATTGTACATGTACATTGGTGTGGATGGCAATGAATGTATCCGATGGATGCCAATTTGGGTCACGCGGTCACTTTGTTTATCTAGCCCCCTTTATTGTCACTCACAGTTCCCCTTTCTAATGTCCATG